GAGCAGAATGCAAACCTTTCAGTTAAGAAGTCCAGACAGTGACAACTGCCCCCAGGCTCATTTGGGTTCTCACATCACAGTGTACTCTGGAATTTGCCTCATTCACCCCCGGCTCTATCTACTTGCTGGCTCAGAGAAGCTGCCCCACCCTGGGAGGGCTCAGGGACCTGGAATCAGACCTCACCTCTGATTCCCAGCCCTCCCCGGCCTCACCACCACTGCAGCTGCTGTGCCCAAGACCAGTGTGGCCTCTCAGGTGAGTCCCAGGGACTTTGTGGAAGAGTCCCAAGGAGCATCTGAAATACACCCAGATGTGCAGACGATGCCATACCATCTTTGCAAGTAATGCATCTGTTTGCCCACTGCTCTCCACAGAATCCCTCGGGGAGATGAGAGAGAGAGAGAGAAAAAAAAACAACTTTGAGAGAAGGCAAATCTCTATTTGTTTAATTGCATGGAGAAAAGAAATACAAGATGTTGAGTTTGCAGGAATCTGCACCATCTGCTTAAATGCAGCCTGATGCTTCCTTCCTTGTAGGCAACATCTGTGGATGCGGCAGGGTGGCCTGCTGCTCCCCGCCCCAGGGCAGACAAGGGAGCTCTGCATGGATGGCCTTGCAGGTCACACGCTGTCTTCAACGTGCCCTTCTGTAGACAGCGGCCTGTATAGGGAGCCGGGTCCTAGGTGATTGGTCTGTGCTTGGCAGGACACTCTACTGTGCGGTAGAAAGAACATTAGCTAGGTGTCTGAGGGCTGGGCCTGCCTCTAGCCTGCTGTGTGGCTGTATGAGCTTGGTCGTTTTCTCTCCCTGGGCCTCAGTTTCCATGTTTGTAGAATGGGCAGGAGGTTCTAAGGTTCCCCTCCAGGTTCAGTGACATGATGCGTGGGGGAGGTCTAAGGGGAGAGGAAAGAACTGGGAAGTCCTGATGACGGGCCCACTCCCCAGCTGGTTGTGATCCTGGGCTTGCTGAGCTTCAGGGTTCTTAGCTGCAAACTGGAATCAATGGTATTAATTGCATAGCTGAGTAACTAAGAAAAAGCACTGCAGTACTTAATTCTGGTCTGGCACACAGTGCCCCCGAAAAGTTCCCTAGGAAAATAATAATGAAGACCTGTAAAAATAAAGTTCTATATGCATATTTATCCTGATATATATGCTTTGAAATGGCATATATATATAATAAAGTTCTATATGCATATTTATCCTGATATATATGCTTTGAAATGGCATATATATATATATATATATATATATATATGCCATTTAAATATATATATTTATCCTGACCAGGGCTGGCCTTTGGCAAATGCAACCAATTTTGCCTCTCAATCTCTTTATGTATCACCCCCATCACTTCACACCTGTACATATATTGCACATCTCTTCCTCTATACAAACCTGTGTGGGGGGAAATTACAGGCAGCCCCTTCACTAGTCTAAGGTGCTAATTGCAGTGTGAATTCTATGGGAACATTTCCTTAACAACAGCAAGGTCCTTAGACAAAAAGGAACCTCAAGTTATAGGGTTCTGATCCCTGGCAGTCCCCACCATGCCTCCACTGTGTGCTGGCCGCCCACACACCTCTGCACTGGGCCCTGATACATGGCGTTGGCTGCACTGGCTGGAGCCAGAAGTCAGGAGCCCTGAGTCCTCAGCCTGTGTCTCCCTGGCCGCCTGAAGTTTCAGGAACCGACACACACTGTGTGTGCCCCAGTCGGCAGGCTGTCTTCATGCTGAACAAATCCTGGTGTTTTGTTGGATCAAAGAAACTGTTGCCATGTTGCTCTAGTCTAGGGGTTCTGAGAACTTGTTCCAAAGACCACAAATCTCCCAAATCACTCCAAGTCTTAGCCTGTTACCATCTTAGTAGCTTTCTTTCTTTTTTCTTTTTTAAATTTAATTTTATTGCTTAAAGTATTACAAAGAGTAGTACATATGTCTCCTTTTTTTTCCCCATTGACCTTCCCCCAGCCTCCCCTACCCCCCAGTATCTTGCGTCCATTGGTTATGCTAATATGCATGCATACAAATCCTTTGGTTGATCTCTTACCTCTCCCCCACCCCCCACCCGCCCCCGCAACCCTCCCCAGCCTTCCCACTGTAGTTTGACAGTCTGTTCAATGCTTTCTTTCATTCAAATAGCTCTGGAGGGTGATAACCCTTAAGGCTTAGTTAGTCATTAAAACATTAGTCTTGCCCTAGCCAGTTTGGCTCAGTGGATAGAGCATCAGCCTACAGACTGAAGGGTCCCAGGTTCGATTCTGGTCAAGGGAACATGCTCAGGTTGCGGGCTTGATCCCAAGTAGGCACATGCAGGAGGCAGCCGATCAATGATTATCTCTCACCATTAATGTTTCTATCTCTCCCTTCATCTCCCTTCCTCTCTGTGGTAAAAAACAAACAAACAAGCATTAGTCTGAATTAACAGATAGGTAAAATAGATACCAAAGGAGGCTCTAGGTCAGTGGTTCTCAACCTTCCTAATGCCACGACCCTTTAATACAGTTCCTCATGTTGTGGTGACCCCCAACCATAAAATTATTTTCGTTGCTACTTCATAACTGTAATTTTGCTACTGTTATGAATCGTAATGTAAATATCTGATATGCAGGATGTATTTTCATTGTTACAAATTGAATATAATTAAAGCATAGTGATTAATCACAAAAACAATATGTAATTATATATGTGTTTTCGGATGGTCTTAGGCGACCCCTGTGAAAGGGTCATTCGACCCCCAAAGGGGTCGTGACCCACAGGTTGAGAACCGCTGCTCTAGTGGAATGGGATGAGAACAAATACTGATGAGCGATGTGGGGCATGGACAAGAGGCTGGATGGGCAGGCTCACAGGAGCATTGGGCAAAGGGTCAGAATGTCTCTTGGAGGCACTAGATGGGAGGAAAGGCAGTTGGTTATACACATTAATGCAGTGTCTACTGTGTGTCAGACATGGTACCAACCAAACACTCTCGGAAATATGCATGTAAATAATGCAGTCAACACTGCCCACATTTGCTCTTGATGCACATAAGCCACAAGGTGATCATGAATTGGGAGACCGAACTCTTCCACACGCTCAGACTCTGCAGTTCTCAGAGGCCTCTCCGAGGTGAGCCTCTCACAGTGCTGAAGCGAGCATACTTTTCACACAGCATAACTTTCGATTGCAAGCCAGTGGGTGCTCAATCTCAGGCTCAATGGTCTCTTCCAAGGCTGGAGGCAAAACGGGCTGGGTTGAACATTTGCAAAGAAGTATATTGGTTTCCAGTACGGCACTTTCCTGAGGGACTTTCAAGGGTCATTTTAACTATAGGAGATGTTTGTCGTTGTTAACTTTGGAGCCCAATCCTTAGGCTCTGATACACAGAATTCAGAAGTCCATGATCCCTGACAAATAGCAAGCAGTTCACCCAACCACTGTCCATGACACTCATCAGCATTTATAACTAACTGGTCAGTCCTGAGCCAGGAGACAGCCCCACACAGTGGCCCCCAGCATCGTGCACACCTTAGGTTCCCTGGCTCTTCCTTCCTGACAGTATCAGGACGCCCCCTGCCCTCCTCCTTCCTGAGTAGCTGAGCCTTGCTCCCGTGTGGAACGCACGGATGTGGACAACATAAGGATGTGGCAGCATTTGAGCTTCAATGGGAAGTCGGTGGAGGCCCAAGGATTATCCCACTCACCGCAGCTCCACCCTCCACAAAGTTGCAGGTGTGGTTCTCCTAAGACACAAGTTCGCCCTTACACTGCCCCTGCTTCAGGTTAAGCCCCCATGCATTGGTCTGGAATCATAATGATAGCAGAAATAATTAATAATAATTATTATTATAATGATAAAGTTATAGCTAACATGGAGTGAGCATTCACCTTGTGGTGAGCATGCTGCTGCAAGCTCTAATGCAGTTTCTTATTCAGTCCTCACAACATCCCAGGCAGGGAGATAGTAGAAAGGGAGGTGGAACATCAGAAAGGTTAAGTGACTTGTGCACAGTAACAAGACTACAAGTCATTCTGCCAGGCATCAAATTCTGACTTCAGAACTCAACCACTATAGCATTCGGCCTAAACAAATGGTTGTATAAAAAGGAAAAAACAAAACAAAACAAACAAGTGCGTTGAATACAAAGTGGCTTACACTCCTCGTGGGATCAGGACCTAGACCTTCCCCTCACAGCCCTGATCACACTGTATCCCGTCGTCTGACCACTTGTTGGTCCTCCAGGTCGGGGGTGGTGCTGATTCTCCTTTACATCACTAGCACCTGCAGGGGGTCTTGGCATCTTGTCGGTGCTCAATCAATGGCTGACAGGTTAATGGATGGATGAGTATGTGAATGAATCCATGGATCCCAATAAACCCTGGCCTTCTCCAGGAACCTTGCCCACAGGGGAACCCCATTTTCCTGAATTCCTCCAGCACTTCTTCCTTGTATGATAGTTCATTGCACTCTGGCTTGCCACATGCAACACTTCTCTGTGTAAGTTCCTGATGCCTCCCCGAGCGGACCATAAGCATTTCCCAAGTCACCGAGCTCAGCGCTGGGCCAGACCTCTGAATAAGTGCACTGAGTACAGCTGAGCCTTGAACAATGTGGGGGCTGGGCGGGGGGGCTGACCCCCAATGCACTCAAAAATTCATGTATAACTTTTGACTTTCCAAAAACTTAACTTAATAGGCCACTGCTGACAGCAGCTTTACAAATAACATACATAGTTGATTAATATATTTTTTGAATATTATATGTATTAATATTTTGTTCTTACAATAAAGAAAGCTAGCGAAAAGAAAATGTGTTTAAGAAAATCATAAGGGAGAGAAGATACATTTGCAGGATTTATTGAAAAAAATCCACATATAATTGGACCCACACAGTTCAAATCATTGTTGCTCAAGGATCACCTATAGCTTATGCTGACCTAGGAGCAGAAAACAGAAGGCAAGGCCACCCACCCCCGGAGGAATGACCCTTTGTCCTTTTGTCCCCGCCCCTGCAGGAGCCTCCTCTGGCATCATCGACCTCCTGCCGTCCCCCAGCGCTGCCTCGAACTGGACTGCGGGACTGCTGGTGGACAGCAGCGAGATGATCTTCAAGTTTGACGGCAGGCAGGGTGCCAAGGTCCCTGACGGGATTGTGCCCAAGAACTTGACGGACCAGTTCACCATCACCATGTGGATGAAACACGGCCCCAGCCCTGGCGTGAGAGCCGAGAAGGAAACCATCCTCTGCAACTCAGACAAGACTGGTGAGTCTCGCCCGGCCCTTCGGTGCTGCCTGTGGTGTCCCAGCAGGTTAGGCAGAGACACAGCCACCGAAGATGTGGCAGAAAGGCAGGGGCGAGAGAGGGGCCCTGGGAAAGGCTTCTGGTCTCTCTGGCTGCTGATTCCTGGGCTCAGGGTAGAGTAGGACCAGGAAAAGGGGGAAAGTAGATGTGCAGACACAAAGAAGGCAAAAGCTGGCTCTGGGGTTGGTGGTTTTAACTGGATTCTTCAGAGCCCCCACCTCCCAGAAGCAGCTTGGGGCTGCTAGACACGATATGGGTGGGGTGCACCCTTACTTCAAGCAAAGCAGCGCCATCTTCATTGTATTATATACAGGGGTGGGCAAAGGAGGTTTCCAGTTGTGAGTACAATAAAGCTATTGTAATAATCATAACCTGCATGTCTTTTTCCATGAGAGCAACTGTAAACCTTTTTTTGCCCACCCCTGTATAGTAAGACTTCCAAACGTTTATTTTCAATAATAGGGCCCTGACAGTTTAAATGAGTAGTTTGAATGTCTGTGCCCTACATAATAATGGTGGCTGACCTGTGATGGGCATTTTCAGCATGCCGCCGTGCAAGGCAGTGCACAGCTTGGTGGTTAAAAACTCTCTACCGCTTATTGGCTGCATGACCTTTGACAAGTTGTCTCACCCCTCAGTGCCTCACTTTCCTGTCTATAAAATGGGCATTAGAATATTACCTACCTTGCAGGGTTTGGTGAGGATTAGGTGACTTAGTGTATGCATAGTGCTTTAGAAAGGGCCTGGCATACAGGAGCGCAATCTGTGTTAGCTGTTACTCTCCTCGTCAGGGTCTCACATCTCCACAAACAAGTTTATTAAAGCATCGCGGTGTTTCCTATTTTTAAGGATCAGGAAACATCCCTGGCAGGTTCAGGAACCTGTCCCAAGTTATACAGCCAGTAAGTATCAGAAGTAGAATGTAAGCTTAGAGTTAGCTAATTCTATCCTGTGCTCTTGTCAGTATGCCCCACATGTGCGCATGCATGTACGTACGTACACACACACACACACACACACACACACACACACACACTCTGACATCTTATGCAAAGTTTACAACTCCATCTTAAACTACAATTTCACAATTTCCCATTTCAAATACTGCTCTTGTTAAGTTACCCCAAACACATAACCACAGCAACGGGAAGACAGTACAGAAGGATGGCTGGCAGCTCAGCCCCTGCTGATGGACAGCCAGAGTTCGTAGGGTGTGACCTTTGAGAAGCTGCTAAGCTCTCCGGGCCTGTTTCCCCTGGTCACCTGCTCACTCGCCCCTCATTTGTGGAGCATGTTCCTCTTGCATTTCAATGAGCTCCACCATGTATGTCCTAGAACATTCCTCAGAACCAATTGTAAAAGAGAGACTGGAATGCCAGTGTCCTGGAGGTGTGCTAAGTGATGTGGCCGAAAGACTCCTCTGCTGAGACTGACACTGACACAAGGACCCTCTCCCCCCCAAACCCTCACTCTGTCTGCAGAAATGAACCGGCACCACTACGCCCTGTACGTGCACAACTGCCGCCTGGTCTTCCTCCTGCGGAAGGACTTCGACCAGGCCGACACCTTCCGCCCGGCCGAGTTCCACTGGAAGCTGGACCAGGTATGGCTCGCACCTGGCCCGTCGCCCCTGCTTATCCCTTTGCAGGGGGTGGGCGGTGTGCTCCAGTGATGATGGCAGTGGGTAGGCACCTCCGGGTTCTGGTCACTTGCTGATACTTAGAAGAATTAGCTCAGGGAGACAAAGAGCATCGTAAAGTCCGAATGGAAACTGCCACCTTAAAGACCAGGCAGAAGTGGGGGGGGGGGGGTCAGCTAACCTGCGTCTTGTCCTTTGGGTCTGCATTGAGCTCCTGGGAAGCTGGTTCTCTTTCCCTTCATCTGAGGCTCACTTTGTGATTGTTGTTAGCACATCTGTGTGTCGTAAATGCTCTGTGTCTCCCTCCTTGATGCTCTGTTATCTCCCTCGGATGAGGTGCAGCCTTGCTTTAGGTGGCACAGGTTGAGAGCAGGGGCCTGAGGACTTTGAAGTGAACAGTGACATGGCGCACTGTGAGCAACGCGTGCACTCTGAGCAACATGTGCTCTCGTCTGAAGAGGGAAACTATGACTCACTTCAGAGCCTAATGACTTGTGATCACAAGGACCACTGTGTCACACTTGTCAGTGACAAGTGAAGTGTCTCGTTTGAATCAAACGCTGTGAAGTGTCTATTTCTGACACTTGCAGCACTGAGATTGCGGAGGTGGCGCTCACTTCTCCGGGTGGCCGTGCCACTGACGAGGTGGCTGTGCAGCAAGCCTAGAGTTGGCCTTCAGTGGGATCTGAAGAGTGACTTTTTAGAAATGGTTTTAAATGACCAAGAGGGAGAGTGGCCAGCAGACAGGGAAGGGGAGTGCAGAATGGGTCTGCTTAGTGAAGCAGGTGGAAGGGTGCTCCTTCTATGGCCTTACTGCCTAGGGCAGTGATGGCGAACCTTTTGAGCTCGGCGTGTCAGCATTTTGAAAAACCCTAACTTAACTCACATATAGAAATTTTTTGATATTTGCAACCATAGTAAAACAAAGACTTATATTTTTGATATTTATTTTATATATTTAAATGCCATTTAACAAAGAAAAATCAAACAAAAAAATGAGTTCGCGTGTCACCTCTGACACACGTGTCATAGGTTCGCCATCACTGGCCTAGGGCCTCAGCAACTCCTTTTGCTTCTTTTTCTGCCCCACCCCTATCCTGAGTGCCTCTGGGGACCTCAGTCTTCTTTTCTCCCTCCAAAACCACTGTGTGTTCCTGCCTCACCTTGTCTAGGGCTGAATGTTCCATAATCCTTTCCCTTCTCTCTCCTTATGACCGCATCTTCCCCACCCTCTCCGGGTACTACCTAAGCTCCCAGGCCCCCAGTGCAGCTGACCTCAGAGAGTGTTCCTGGGCAGCGTTCCAGGAGGAATCCATTTACACTGAGATGAGAATGACGGCTGCCCCCTGGAACCCACACGGAAGCACAGGCCTGCGCGCTTTCATAGATTCATTAACCCCAGGCAGCCTCTTTGTGGTGGAACATCAGACAGTGCGCTAAGGGCGGGGAGGCCAAGCTTAGGGAAAGATGTCTGAGGGAGCCCAGGGCAACTGCCTAATCCACTCCCAATAAATCCCATTTTGCTGGATCCTGGGGTTTTGGAAATATGACATCTGACTAGTGTCTGTTTCTCTGAACTAGGAATTCTAGGTCTTGCCGAAGTGATGAAATCTTGACATTGTTTATTTGATTTCCCAGCCACCTCTCAGCTACCTTCTAAAGTGCCGTATGGCTTATACGAGATGTTTTTATATACACAATATGAATTGAGATGAATGAAAATAAATTCCATATTGTGAGGGCTTTTAATAAGAACACTGATCTAGTTAGTGCCTGGGATATTTATAGATGCCCTGCAGCCTTTTCTCTGATGGGATTGAGTGATACAGGCAAACGAAGTCACAGGGTTTGAAAATAAAACTGAGTGAGGAAGGAGTTCTGGTTCTACAAATAAAGATATGGTGAATCTAGGAATTCTGGAATGTGTCCCCAAAGTGGTGAGTTGAAGGGGGAGCTGAGATCCACTGAGCATCCTGCCAGGCAGCTGTGCGTGTGAGCTCATCCTGGTCTCTGCCACCATCCTGCCCAGCCCTACCCAAGGTCAGTACCTGCCCAAGGTCACGCAGCACACCAAGGGGAGGACCTGCCTTTTCCATGCTGCTGCTGCTTTGGTGAGCTTGCTAATTTAAAATTTAAAGTGTTTTCCATTTTTAAAATCTATCGTTATTGTTGAAAGTATTACTGATATCTCCCTTTCCCCCTATTGACCCTCTCCACGCCACACCCTCCCAGGCCCTCACTATTGTCTATGACTATGTCCATGGGTTATGCATATATGCTGTAAGTTCTTTGGTTAATCTCACCCCCCTTCCCTCTGAGATTCATTCGTCTGTTCCATGCTTCTATGTCTCTGGATCTATTTTGCTCATCAGTTTATTTTGTTCATTAGTTTCCGCATCTGAGTGCTATCATGTGATGCTTGTCTTTCTCTGACTGGCTTATCTTGCTTAGCATAATACTCTCCAGGTCCCTTAATGCTGTCTCAAAGAGTAAGAGATCCATCTTTTTTTACAGCTGCATAGTATTCTATTGTTTAAATGTACCACAGCTCTTTCATGGGCACTTGGACTGTTTCCAGATCTTAGCTATTGTAAATAGCGCTTCTATGAACATAGGGGTGCATATATGCTTAAGATATATTCCTAGAAGTGGGATCACTGGGTCAAATGGCAGTTCCATTTTTAATTTTTTGAGGAAATTCCATACTCTTTTCCTTAATGGCTGCACCAGTCTGCGTTCCCACCAGCAGTGTGCTAGGATTCCCTTTTCTCCACATCCTCACCAACACTTGTCATTTGTTGATGATAGCCATTCTGGCAGGTGTGAGGTGATACCTCATTGTTGTTTTAAATGCTCAAAGTCACTAATCGTCAGAGAGATGCACATTAAAGTGTTTTAATTTTTAAATTTAAAGTATTTTAATTTAGAGATCAGAATTGTCACTGAGATGCAAAATATTTACAGACTGTATGAAACTGTCCAATCTTCACATTGCTCACACTTGGTCTCCTTTGTCTTAATCAGCTAGGGCTGCCATAACAAAACGCCATGGATGGGGTGGCTTTGACAATAGACATTCATTTCTCACAGTTCCAGAGGCTGGGAGGTCCATGATCAAGGTGCTGGCCAGTTCCGTTCCCAGGGAGGGCTCTCTTCCTGACTTGCAGCAGTTGCCTTCTTGCTGTGTCCCCACCTGGTAGAGAAAGAGAGCTCTGGGACCTTTTCCTCTTCTTAGAAGGCACCAGCCCCATGGGATTGGGGCCCTACCCTATGACCTCATTTAACCTTCATTGCCTCCTAAGGCCCTGACTCCAAATGCAGCCAGGAGATACGGGCTTGGAAAAGCCCCCAGGAGGGGCAGCATCTGAAGGGAGTGTGGAGGGCTCAGTGGAGCCAGGCGGGCGGAGAGCTGAGCAGGAAGGAGGGCCATCTGCAGGGAACTGTCAGCTTCCAGTGTGGCAGGGCTGAGGAATGAGGCAGAAACGGAAAACCTTGGCAGTTAGGACCCAAGTTTGGAGGAGCAGGTGGAATTCAATCCCAAGAGGCCTTTTATATCATGCTATTGAGTTGGTACTGTATCCCCAAAAGAATTGGCCACAAATTGAGCCATTTTGCTATATAAAGAAGACTAAGAATTTCCGGGATGGGTAAATGTGAAGAAGGCTATATGAAATTCCTAAAATGTATCAAATGTAAACCAGTATACTCAGGCCAAGTCATTCAATGGGACCAGGGGTGGGAGTCGCATTAGAAGCAGAGTCTCCCCTTCCTCTCTCCACAGCCGGGCAGGGACAGCAAGCACTTGACGGATGCTGCTGTGGGCGTTGAAACCAGAGCATGCAAAGCAGGAAGGCTTCCATATAGCTCTTCAGGAGGCGCCCACAGAGAGAGGCAGGTGCCCCAGAGGAGCTGTGCTCTTCCCGCAGCCCAGCCCTTAGCCCCACGCCCCAGAGGGCCTTTGCCGGGGTGGACAGACTGCCAGGTCAGTCCATCAGCAGGCAGCTCCAGGAGATGCCCCTGAAAACCCCATGCACCTCAGTCAAGGGATCCTAATGATGAGGAGAACGTCATTTTAATGGGATTTTTACTTATGATCTGCTAACGCAAATCCCTGCAGCCAGCTGTTAATCATGGGCAGACCCAGACTAGAGCAGAGGAGGATGCCCGGCTGCCAGCTCACACGGGAGAGGGTTAGTCATTGGCAGCCCCTTCCAGCTTTAGTATTATTTAGATACGATTGACTCGGTGTCACGAGTTCTAATGATCTTCCCTTTGGACTTGTTGGTGCTCAGAGGGAAACCTGCTGGTGTTTTACGGCGTGTCTCAGTGTCTCAGTTCCTGGGAGGCCCAGCTTGAGTGACAGCCTCAGTTGACCAGCACGAAGACAGGTGCCCCCAGCTCCTAGGAGGGAAAAATATGCATCTCTGAAAAATTGCACAGGATGCAGAAGTGGGCTCACTCTGGTGGCCCCGTTGCCTTTTCTGCGCCAGCACTTGTGACAGGCACCAGGAAGAGGGAAGTGAGATGTGACCCTGCCTGGGTCTGCGCACAGCCCTCCCTGCCCAGGTTATGGGCCCCAGTAGAACATCCTGTGGGAGCACCAGCTCTAGTGATCATGACAGGGAGAAGCAACACAGGGAGTGAAGAGGCCTCACTGGGTGGAGGCTGTTCCCCACTGGAGATGAAGTTAGCGCACAGCTCCAGACCACCCGAATCCAGGCCTGGTGTTGCACCTCCAATTGTTCAGAAGTTGGAAATCGGATTTTTGTGTGAAATCTCTCAATTTTTAATATTTTTCTCATTTAAAAACATTTATCATCAGACCAAACAAATGGTCTACAGTATGCCTTTATGCTCTGGTCACCAGTTTGAGATGACAGATAAAAAACAGACAAAATAAAACCAGTTATTTTGACAAAGGAAAACTATGCTACAGTAGGTCTATATGAGAAGTTGGATCTTCT